TAAGTCTTATCCATGACGGGTTTTCTAAAAATCGATGAAACTAGTTTACGGTCTAAATTATTTACCTAAACATCAACGACGCGTTTTTATACGACGTAAACATATTATATTATATACTGAAGATTCGGAATGGAGCGAAAAATTATATTAGTTTTACAATGAAGTTTATTATTATTATTTTTTATATATATATACTGTGTTCACAAATTCTACCGGAAATTTTGAAAAATATTTGAGTCATTTGTGAGTTATTTATAGATATTTAAATTTACGAGGTTTTTACGTAATTTTTATTCGATAGGTATTCTGTGGACAGATTGCCTGACCATACAGAAATACTTGAAAACTAAAAAGTAGGTTCATTATAAAACCTAATGAGTAGCCAACAAAAAAAATATTATGTATAATGTGGTATATTTAGATTCTTAGTGGAGTAAAATTGTCTATACGGAAATGCTTAATAGTAATATTATTATAGTCAAACCTCGAACGGTTTCAGGACGTTTAACGAAATTTCGTAATCCTAATACACGATAATTATAATATTGTTTTTATTTTTTTACAATATATTAAATTTACGGCTCCTGAAAAACGGATGAAATACATTGCATTCGACAGCCTGTTATCTTTGACCGTAATCACTTCTTAGTAATAATGTACCTTACCTTCATATCCGGCCGTCGCATACCCGGAGTGTTTTTCTTTTCCATCAAAGTAAGTAGAAATTTATACTGTTTTACACTTTGAAAGAAGTGTAGAAAGAAATATAAACAAGTTATACTATGTATTGTTTTCCCGGTAATTTTAGATTCAGAGCGAAGCATTGGTCATCGATGATTTGACCACGCGGGTCTGTTAACAAGTTTTCTACATCCTGCCCCGATCATCACGGTCGGCATCTCTTCTAAAATCAAATTTTGCTTTGCCGGTTCATCGAGGTGGTCGATTTTCGATTTTTATTGTAATTTTCCTAATAATTGGAAAAATTCATAGAAAAAACAGGACAATTTTCCATATTGTTTTTTGACTATAAATTAACATGGAGACGTATTCGGTGATTACTGTACCGAATACGTTTATAATTTACGCGGTAAATGGTCAAAGCCATATGGCGTTTTTTTTTAACGGATCTAAGCTATTGAAATTGTATAGTTTTTATTTAATCCGCTTTTTATGTGGATGAAATCAATGGCAAACCAACAGATAATATTACGTTATTATTACTTTCTGGAGATTATATCGATCGACGCGTTTCGTGTATATATTTTTTTTATTTTATCTTTTTTTTTTTTTTTTTTAAACATACATTTTTCTCTCAATATGATACTCCGTACATTTTACATCTGTCCCTGAATGGTGGCGGTAATATCAAAACGAAAGAAACCAAAAAAAAAAAGCAAATAAATTATTACATAAAAACGTTAGTCGGATTCCGACCCGGATTTGTTCATTGTGCAGGTATTGACCACCCGAAAAGGTTTTTGTCATTTTTCTAGCACAATAGATATTAAAAATCATTGTAACTAATGATTTATTACGATTAAATATATGTTATACCAGTTATATAATACACCTTGTATTGTCAGGATGCCGGTCGTTGTGCAAAGGGACATTCGTATAGGTACAGAATCGTATAGTTCACATTGTTGAATAGTTTAAAAGACACGTTTGGAAAATATCCGAAGTTCTCCGCAGTCAGTTTATCAGATTAGCTGATTCAACTATTCATCTTTGATTATTTGCCTCTTTTACTATACTAATCGTGTTTTTGAACCATTAGAATGATTTTCCTTGTTCATTACAATGTGTAGAGTTATTTAGCCGATAGCTGTAAGAAACGATAAACTGTTGCTAACAAAAAACAGTTTAGAACTAAGTTCAGTTAAACATGTTTTAAAAGGCCGTAAAATTTACGTGAAAATTTGATTTTAAAACTTGTAGAATTTTATTTTGTTTAGTAAACTAAATTTTTTTTTACCACTAGGTACGGCTTAAAATAAATAAACTAATACATTTTATAGCACTTCTGTTAATCGTAAAAATTTCATCTACAGAGTACCTACCGGTACTTTAATTCATTTTACTGTACTTTCTACATTTTTTTTTTTTTGGTTTAGCTCAATTTTTAAAAACACTTCAAAGAAAATCAATAATACACTTTCTTTCTCACCAACAAAAATTAAAATTTGTCAATGAAGTACTCTTGATGTTTTTTTTTTTCGGAGATGTTTTTTGGTAGGAACATTAGTCGTAAAAATTTAAAATAATGAAATCCTAATGTCGTAATATTGTCAGTATTCATTTAATTTTTTTTTTTAGTCTGAAATTAAATTTTATTCGGCGATCAGTCCGTGCGGTATTTTTGCAATATTACTGTATTTATAATACATAGAAAATGTTTTGGCTTGCGGTTCGCCTTTTAACCCCGCATAAAATCTGCAGCGCGTTCCTGGCCCGACGATCTTGAAGATTGCGATCGGTTTATAATTTAGTTGAATATAATTTTCCAATGTTTCTCGAGATTACAATATGTCTTTTGCGATTATTTGACAGTCGGCCTACTCGAATTGAAATAAACGCACTCTTTTTAAAAACGCAACGATTACCCGAATCAGGTGAATTCGGGTGACCCGAATCAGTTCCCTTTTAAATTTGTGACCGTGTATTCACAATTGGTCGAATTGGTTCCCAATGTTCGCAATAAGATACACACGTTTCCCTTCCCATTCGCACAAGCATACAAACTGTTGATTTAGAATTTTTTTTTACACTAGAAACAATTTTGTATTTTATATTCGGTTTATATACGAATAGCCATACAATATGTCATACGTATATTCAAATGGTTATTGCGTTATTGCGGAAATATAACATTGTTTTCATTACCTTGACAACTGTAAAATACCTGCCCGAGTATGATAAAAGTTAAATAAAAGTTTGGTCAAGTGTCCAAGAGGTCTCAAACACAAGATTCGTAACATACTATATTATATTTATAAATGCGGAATGTTATTTATCGTATGAAGGTAGGTATAATACGGAAAAAAATTTTGCTCAACTTCAAACAGTATCTTTTTCAAACGGTTTGGCATTTCCTTTCGGAGTTCTGTAACAACGGGAAATTCGTTAGCGTATATTTTATTATACTTGCGAATCGGCGTGTACAAAACCGTTTCGAAACCGGAAAATTCGTGGGACTGTGTCAACCGTATCAACATTCTCCAAGTGCGCCGGGCACGGTCCTCGCGGGATTCACAAAGCCCGGGAATCGAGCCTCGCTCGCCCCCCTTCCCCTAACCTCTTAAAAAACCCAAAGTCGTCGAACTGTATAGAATGCGATTATATTCACGGCGGTTCGGTGGGAGCGGGTAAATTCAGAGATGAAATTATCTCGCTAAAAACGGCCACCGGTCGTTGTCGTGAAGCCTACAGAGCATATTCCAATAAAGAATTTTTCGTCCGGTCCGCGCACTCGGCGTTGACCACCGTCGGGCGACGTTGCTGCCGCCGCGGTGGTTTCAGGCTTCCGGTTTCCGCGTGACGCGTTTAATCGCGGCTCTATCATTTGCGTGCGGGCGCGTACACGCAAGCCAAGCGAGTGAATAACGAGCGCGCGCGCGCGTAGACCAAATAATTTCGTATTTACGCGATGCTGAATATCGCGCGGCCATTGCGAGCACCGCCGCGTGATGCGTACGACGACGCGGTGCGTTTTTGTACGTGTGATGTGAACGGGCGCGTGTGTGTGTGCGTAAGTGCGTGCGAACGTATTATAGTGGTGTGTGTGTGCGCCGCTTTCGTGCGGCTCTCGTGTAAAACACAGCAATATAATACAACTACAATATTACAGTCCAGGTACCCCCTGCACCGAACCAGTCGTTTTGTCAGCGGCGGCGGCGGCGATGACGAAGTATGGCCGGTGAACTGGTGGTGGTGCGCGGAAGACCATCGTCCAACCGCCACCGCGATCCTGGTTGGTTAGCTGCCACCGCTTCCACCCCCTCCTTGACTCCAACTGCGGACGCTGTCGCGGAGCCGGACAACGGCGTGCCGGTCACCGGGGCCTATAAAAGGGCAAACCGCAGGCCTATCCGCCGACAGTGTTTGTGTGATTTTTACGTACGTAGCAAGTTGCACTCATCTTCTCTTTGTCTTATCACTCCCCGCGTTGATTTACGAGAATATTTGACTTTTAATATTAATTTTTTTTTTCTGGATACTTTGCGTTTTCGCGGAGCCGTCTGTATTATTCGTTTAAACATTTTTCCGGATCGATACCACACCGAAGACAATTTCTAAACAATTTCGAAAAATCTGATTTATTTTTTTTTCCACTTCGGGATAGCGCAACCACGATTACGATGGAACCATCCAATGCAGTGACCGCTTTTCTTATCACCGTGGCCTGTGTTTCAGCGGCTGTCGTTCCTGGCAAACGTAAGTATTTGGTTTTTTGTTTTTTTTTTCTTTTTATACATTTGACGATTTCGTTACCGTTAATTTTGTTGTTATCGTTGACTAAGGAAACGGGTAAAAAAACAAATAAAATAAAAAAAAAATTTATAATATTTTCACGAGCGGTATTTAAACAATTTTTTTACGAAATAAAATTAAAATTTACGAATTCGATTTATAACAAAAATAATAACGTAGTTACAGTTTTACAAGGATGTGCAAACATAGTAATTTGGGTTTTTTATTTTTTTTTTTTAACACAGAGATTTATTAAAATATTAATACAATAATATTACTATTACTACTACTACTACAACTATTACTACTCATTCTATTACGAGGATTGTTTGGCAGTGATAATAATATTGTTGATTAAATGTCGCTAATATATAGATTCAGCGTGTAGATGTAACATATAATTAATAAGTATATTACGGGGTTCATTATATATAGGTATATCGTAATAAAAATCGATTAGAAAAAAAAAAAAATCGCAGGTAAAATAATACAATTTTATACATTTTTTTCACCTGCTTTCTATTCTTTCACCTGCTTAACCAACCATCAGTAGCAATAAACTGATTGTTACCTATTTTCTGGGATAATTCTTCAGCTTTACATTTCAACAATGGCCCAGACACGCAAACACCGCGACTTATTATTAATGAAAACCATTCACTTAAGGCTTCGTCAACTTCGGGATCTTTTCCTTCCCGTTTACGTTTTTGATTACCAGTTTGAGTTGAATTAAAGTTTTCGTGTAACATGAATTCTTCTTTGAGCAGTTTCGCCACAGTTGATTTCGGAACGCATAATTGTTCAGCAATTTTACATTGTGAAGTGTCTGGAGGTAGCGATTTCACCTTGTCCAAAATCGCAAGTTTTTCCTTACGGGAGATATCATTTCTTGACATATTGTCACGTTGAAATTCACGTTAAAACTGACTAAACACTAAAACTGTATTGTTAGGTATTGACGCGTTACAGAATGCGTGCCGTATATCGTTTTATTTTTATCGNGGTTTAAATGGTATAAATGATTTTTATTACTTTCGATAAACACAATCTCATAGATACGACGAAACCCGATTAAATTTAGTCGTTTTTAAATACAATATGTGTATTTTCTAACGCTATTATAAAATAAAATTTCCCCCATAAACCGAATCAAGTGCCCATATTACGTGGTCTTATTTAACCTTGTTAATATACATTTGTATTGGGACCAGACCTGTTTGCCCACATTAAGCGGATGCCCATATTATTCGGTGCCCACATTAAGCGGAATCCACTGTATATAGTTTATAATAAGGGTGTATAGAGTATAAGTAGATTTACCGCGGTTAAAGATCGATTAAAAATAAAATAATACTGTCCGGCAATTATATAGGTAAATCAATTTTCTTTTCCCGTTTTTGACAAAAATAATATTGTATTGAAAATCGAAACAGCAATAAAACGTTTCGATTTCCTTAAGTGAAACCATTCATCCCGTCAAAATAATACATTTAATAACACGAGTATAACGTATAATTTTAAATATTATCATAGACATACAAATATTAATTCATTATTTATTCAATAATTAAATTAAATAATTTGTACGACTTTTACGCTTTTCCCGCACACTACAAAAAAAAAAAAATCAAAAATCTTCAGCACCGTAGTGTAAATAATACCACGATTATGGTTTCGCAACTAGCTATAATAAGATCTTGGTGGGGGTGTTTGGGGATCAACCTCCCTTCCAAATATTTCGTGTTATATTATGTTGTGGGAAAATAACTATCTCAGTCGATAAAATTAGAACACGGCAAATGTTTAGTTTCCAGTCCCCCCCCCTCGAAATTACTTTCCAGTCATGGTCATATGGGGGGAGGTTCAGTGGCTACCGGCAACATGAGCGAACCAGTTAACAGCCATTCCATGGGTATGGACAACCAATAAGTTTCATTTTAACATCATTTATAATACTATAGAGTTCTAAACATGACTTTCTAATTATTCTTATTGATAAACCCCACGAAAACAAAGCGCCGACCTTAGCCACGGGGAATGTATTCACGGGGCTCAAAAAATCCTCCCGTTATTATCATCACATTAGCTATACCGTTCCGATAGCGAATATGTAAGAATTCTCTTGGAACACACAGTATTTTTATAAGTAGGTACTCCGTATAATATTTGCGAGGCCGTATATAGGGAGGAGTTTACACCCCCCCCCCTCCAAACACCAGAATATTTTTCAAAACTATTTATTATTGTTTTCCGCGGATAAATGCTAATTACGTTTGTTACCACTCCCCCTCCCATCCCTCGAGTATTCAGTTGTTTAACTAGCGTCTCTTGATTATCTATATAATTATTGAATTACAATATATGAACTGAATATCTATAACTATGGCGGCGGCGAGTTTGTAGCCAACCTAAACGTTTTTCAAAATTTTATTAAAATAATACAATCACGTCGATTTGCGGATACGCAATTTACATCGATAATACCCATAATGAGATAATATTGTTAAATAGTTTTACGCGGTTTTGAAAAACGTTAATTTTCGATCGAGTTCCGGCATAATCGTGTAATATTTTTACCATACAATATGAACTGGCAAAGTAATACGGGTTTGTTTCTAGATAACCAACCGTTATCCCTTGTTTTATTGTTGAGTTCTCGTCATTTTTCGAAAAAGTTTTCCTCTATTAAGACGTTTGGATACGAATAATCATAATATTTTTCAATTTTTTTTCGATAATCGAATAGAATACAACTGCATTCTATTGGTGACGGAAAACGTTTGCTTTTTTTTTTTCTTTTATTGAACGAATATATATTAGTTTAAGTGTGGGGGGAGGCGAGGAGGGGCTTGATTATCTGCTGATTGAATATTAAATAATGTAAACGGGAATTTATTTTTTATTATGTCATTTCGGTTTTCGTTTAATATTCTATACCAGGGGTAGCGAACCTTTTTTGGGTGTGCCAAAATTTAAAATCAAGTTTTTTAAAATATGCTCTCGTGCCAAAAAAATTAATTTCACTTGGTAAGATGAAAAGAAAAAGCATGTAATAATTACATACATTTTGTTAGGTACACATTTATTTGTAAAATTTTATTTCATTTATTAATGTGATATCTGTTGTTTTTTAGAAAATAACATTTTAATATTTGAAGTATAGTTGGTAGTTTTCAGTGAAACACAAGCAACACAAGTTTCATCGATTAATTTATTTCTCTGCTTCGTTTTTATTAAATTCATTATGGAGAATAAACTTTCACAATCATAAGTTGACGAAAAAATTGATAGGATAGATTGAGCTACTTTTTTAAATGTATTAAATGTGTTTGGAAGTGAGTTCCAGATTTTAAGAATTTCAGTATCTGCATTTTCTTGAAGACGGTTGATTTCTATTTCTTCGATTAGTTTTCTTAAGTCAATCAATTTTTGTTTCCACTTATTACAGCATTGAAGATCAATTAACTTAACTTAACTTAACTTAACTTAATTAACTTATGGTTATTCGTTTAATTACGCATACACAAATTAACGAAAATATATAATAATAAAAAAAGTCAATAGGGGGGAGGGGGGTTAGATAAATAATTCACAACTCAAAACTCAAAATATTATTTATACAGGTAAATAAATTAAATTTCACCTTTACAATCTTCCCAATTTCTCACTTACAACATTGGCTTACCCACGTGTGAAGTTAGGAATTTCGAATCGTAATATTACAGTTTACAACTAAAAAGTTGTATTGTTGGTACGAACGCGAAAAGCGATGTAATAAGCGAATTAAAACGATTTACAATGAACCGTCCTGCGTCTTCATTGTCACTGTGGACTATATAATCGAATATCGGTTTATATTCTTATTTAATATCCATTTTATATTTATATAATGTTCTCAACATTTTCCCTGTATAGGTAATACTCGTATGGACGAGCGCGTATTGCAAACTAATTTTAAAGTTTCTATTGCTCGATATATTCACTGTAACGGCGGGGTGTCATTGTGAGATTGATGTCGAATTTTAACGTATCTTCCTATTTTGTAAGTACAAGACTAATTTTGACAAACCATCTTTGTGGTTTTTGACGTGGAAATATCAAAAATAATTAATTGATTGTCATACTAAAGACTGGATGGATGCGTTAATTTGTACAGACAACAAATTCATAAAAATGCGTTTTCGGGGTTAAGTTATATACCTAACTAGTTATTTCGTAGAAATTTCGACGATCACACGATATTATCGTGTGTATTTTGAGTTTTTGAATTTCTTTTAAATATATAAAAAAAAAATGACGGTATCGAGAATATTTCCGTATTATCGCTTAATTCGTCGTCTAAGTGGTTTTTTTTTTAATTTGAACATAAGCAAAATACAAGTAGTAACTAGTACTACATTTTAGAATTTAGGTGTGATGAAGAAGATATTGGTTTTACTAAGATATTTATTTAATTTTTTTTATACTGTGTACAAAATGTCTACCAGAAATCTAGCTTTATTAGCTCATATTGTCCAGATGATACTTTTGGAAACTCATTTTTTGATTTTACGACCGTTTTTGAATTAAAAATTCATCAGCTTTATCGAAGTCAAAATGTAAACTGTGACTGAATATGACAAATTAAATGACGGAACACATAGAAAAAAAAATTACAAATTGGTCGTTTTACATAGAATATAGAAATAATTTATTTTAATAGGAAAGATTTTCAGTAGTCTGGATTTCACTAAATTTACATGAAATACTTAAAACTAAAATAGAATTATGTAAACCTAAAAAAAATACGTTATTACAGATCCCATCTTTTTATCTTGTGTTTCAGATGAGACCATGATAAATTGGTGTCCGTCCATATGGAATTCGGCCGAGTACAACGTCATAGTGATGGGACACGTGTGGCCTCCGGTCTCTGGTTGCGCTGTAAAAAAGGCTGACCAGTTTAATCTTAAGTTGATGAATCCGCAAGGTGGTATTGGAGGACACTGCTCATATAAAGGTAATGTATATATAATATATTATTATCGATTCCGGTAGACAATATAATATTGATATTAATCTAATCGAACAAATTTGGTTTAACTTCCGGCCACTGATATTTTCCGTGTTAGAACCGTACGGTTATTCTATAAATATTAGAAATATTGCATCAATTTAACATTATTATAGTAGTTATATGTATTACAGTAGTCTGTATTAGAGTTATCTTTATTTTGGAAAAAATAGTTTACCAGGTTTTAACCAAGAGAATAAATTAAGAAAAACATCTGTTAACAGCAGAGCTCTGTCATTACACTTTTTTCCTTCGCCTATAATTTGTATTATACAAATATAATTTGAATATAATATAATATGAGTTATAGTATAATACATTACAATATTATACAAATTGATACTATTTTCAAAAAGAGTAAAATTGTCAAATTTGAGAGTACAAATACTAGGGAGGTCACAAGTTTAAAATCTCAGAAAGCACATGTTTGTTTTGGCACTAACGCAATTCATATATTTAATTCCAATGGTTTTATTTGGGGGCCGATAAGGTCTGTATAAGCGTTCAAAGCCTGAAAAATATACTTTTTCCCACAAAAACATACTGAAATTTCGATTGAAATTAAATCGAAATGTTAACAGTTGGTTTACAGATTGTAATTAGAAATATCCCACAGTAGCGGAAAAAAACAACCTATGGGCCTAAAACATAAAAAAACAGTGTCTAAATGGGTCTGAATCAATTTGATACCTTTAAATTTTGCTAGCATTTTAAATTTATGAAAAAAATTAGGGGCCAGACACCTGCCTTGGGTGGGTAGGTCCGAAGTACGACATTTGTCTTCACAATAGTTTTATGAAATCGGCACCACTGGGTCGATCGTTTGCCGCAATACGAGAAAAATATTGATTAACAGTATGATTTTTACACGGTATTAATGTAATATANGTCACAAGTTTAAAATCTCAGAAAGCACATGTTTGTTTTGGCACTTACGCAATACATATATTTTATTCCACTGGTTTTATTTGGGGGCAGATAAGGTCTGTAGGAGCGTTCAAAACCTGAAAAATATGAAATCGGCGCCACCGGGTCGATCGTTTGCCGCAATACGAGAAAAATATTGATTAACAGTATGATTTTTACACGGTATTAATATAATATATTGTTCATATTTTTTATCTACAGACGATTCAGACATGGTCTCGACTCATACGGCATATGATTGCGTGACATCGTGGAAGGCTCCTAGCGTAAACATCAATTCGATTCCAAGCCGCAACTTGTCGTTTGCGTTAATCCGCAACCAGTCGGCTGCCAAGTTAGGCATACAGTCATACCAATGTGCTGTGAGTATATCTCGTCTATATCATATGTATTATATACAAAATAAAACCCATATTTAAAAACAGTAATGAAAATGAATTTCAACCGTGTCGGTATAATATTTTAGATTCTAAGCGAAGCAAGGAATGTTTTGGTTTTACAATGATGTTTTTTTACTTGTGTATAAATATATATATATATATATATACATAAACGAGTATTGTATGTACCGTGTACAACAATTCTACAGAAAATTTTACTCCAATACTTTTTAGATTATGATATATTATCACCGGGTGATCGATCTATCATTAAACACTCATAATCTCAAAAAGTATTAATTTTTCCGGAATTTGTTTTGAGAACATTTAAAAAGCAAGGTGATCTACAATTTTATATTTATGTTATTTTTTGTCATTTCTATATTTAAGGGTGAAACCACTTCCTATTTTTAATTTTTAAGTAGCAACATATATTAAAAATTCCATAAATAGAGATGAAGTATTAATTAGANTAATATAATGGAAAACAAATTCTGGAAAAGTTAATACATTCGAGATAACTTGTGTCGTATGATAGATTGATCACCCTGTATATCAAATGTGACACATTTTTTAAATGGAAATTTTATCTAATTGGTACTTAAAGGGAGTTCTTTTGATTTTCGTTGATTAAATAAGTAGTTTTCTACAGTATTGTATTTTTAATAACTGAGCAACAACGTATGAAGTAATGAACAATTTACAAATATAATTCTTTTATTATTTTCAATTAAGTTTTTTCTTTTGTTATAATTCTTATGAGATGTCTGTAGACTAGAAATTTGGAAAAAAACCTATATTTACCTTTTATAGACGTGGGAACGTATTTAAAATAATTGAGCCATTTTTAAACTACTTAAAGACATTTAAATTTTGTAAGTTTTTCGGCTAGGTACTCGTGAATAAAATTGTTAGACTAATCAGAACTATTTGATAATTTAAAATAGGTTCATTATAAATATTACTTAGTGGAACGGTATCGTACTTTTATAGTAGTCAAAAATAATGAGTTCATTGTTTTGTAGAATTTTTTATTAGATATTAAAATTCTTTTAAAATCAAATTTTGAAAAAATTGTAAATATCACGGGCTTTCAAAAAATGTGTAACCGAACTCCATTCAGAATCGTTATTCATTAGCAATGATCGTTTAATTGTTGCGTACTGATGTATATTAAATTGTCTCTATAATATTCTACTTTCCCAATTTCTCCCCAACATCAGTGGCCCCCCTATTGTGCGCAGTATGTCCGTCTTTTTAACATCGAGAAGAAAAAAATAAAAATAAAATTGATGTTATCATTATAATACAATATAGTTAATTGAATCTGTGACGGCGGACGGCACTAAGTTATTGATCGCGATATCCACGGACGAACATTGCGACGGATTAGCGGATAGATTATTAAAACCCTATGATCATCATGTGAAAGACGGAAAGATGGTGATGCTGCTCTACCAGAACGCTCGACATCCGCTGCAGCCGATAGACCGTCCGAAGAGAGAGGTTACGGATGAACAATGCAGGCAAGTGGTCACCATAAACCATATGTGGGTGTTGTTTCGTTATACATAATTTTGCCAGTTGTAATTCATATTGTTTGTCTGCGATAAACTCAAATACATTATATTATACGAAATTGGTTATGTTACCGAACATCCGAAAATATAAACGAGCGGATTCCGCATTTAGTTATAATTATTTTAATACGGGCAAAATATTAATCACGAATATACTAATTCTATTATTATTATTTCAATAAAATACATTTACCTAATTAAAATCTTGTTGTTTTTAGGTTTTCGGATTTCACCCAAGGCGAATGGTTAAACTTGAGAGTTGACGGTGGGACTCTACAGTATGTGCAGATCGTACACCACAATGAAATAGACGGCGTTGAACAGAAAGGCGACGATGAAACCGGCCAACAGACCCGAATNTATTTTAATTAACGGTTACCATTAATATTTTGGTGCGATGGTGGCTCTTATTTTAAGTGCCCGTGCACTATCTACGTATCGACAATACAATTAAAAAGTATTAAACTATAGTAACAGTAATTTTGTAGTAAGTAGGTACTTGAAATGTAGGTTTATATGAAAATCACGTTTTAACATTTTAAGAGATTCTAAATATTATCACGCAACTTAAAATTGGGTAAATTGAGTTGTTTATAGTGCGAAACGGCCGCGTGGTCGTCGTCGGGCACGAAAACGCGGAGTAAATGATAACCGTGTACCGTAACATAGGGGTACAAATTCAAACTTATTATTACCCGCTACCCGCGTTACAATGGAGTAAATTTATGTGCACGATAATATTGTTTTCGTGAACGGTGCAAATAACCAGTTGAAAATTGATATCGGCCGAATATTTTAAACGTCATAGACAGTCGTCGCGCGTCGGCTTTATTCACTATTTTTACTCTTGCTCGTGTTTACATATTAAACCGGGTTCCCAAGACTCGTGTATATGACGATTATTTGCCATTGGTTGATATTCGCCAAATAGTGGGAACGGAGTACTTGTAAGATATTATTTTATTGTTGACTTGTGCATTCGGTAATCGTCACTCGCCACTTCACCGCGAATTGTCGGTAAGGTAAAAACGAGTCAAAGAGATTATTAGTAAAATAATAATCGTTGTTACATTATCACGATGCGACAAATTTTTGACATTGGATTAAATTTCTAAAACTAGAAAAATTCACCATTCGAAAAAGGTGTAACGCTCTATAAATCGAGCTAAACTTAAATAAACTTAAAATCAAACTACAAATATTCTAAAAAATAATAGATTTTCGCGATATGTCTTCATCAGTTCATCTATTGAAATTTATAAATTAATATTCTTTTACTCTAATATTTTCTAAAAACTATAGATTTTTAAAGACAATTTTAACTATTTGAAGATTACAACTGAAGCGAAAAATATTTTTCTACATTGGAACTTATAAAGACTTTTTTTAAAATATTCATCGAAGGAATATCGGATAACAGCCCTAACAATGCTATCGATTAAAAAACAAATGATAACTAAAATTCCCAACTTTAATGAAAAAAAAAATAAATATAGAAATACGAAAATCAGATAGGAGAATTGATTTTATTTATAAACACATAAACTGAAGTTTGAAATTCAATTGTTGAAAAAAAAAAAAATGATGATATATTCGAATTTTTTTCTTTTTGAATTTATTTTTATAAATTGGCACTACATGATAAAAAACCCATGAGTCACCACCGATTATATTTCTGTCATCTGGCCTATCTGATTAAAATTAAATTATCACAGTTGATTAGTCTATAAGATTAATACAAAACTTTTTTGTTTGTAGATACGGAATATTGGATCTACTGAGAAACAGCACTACTTTCTGCAGGATTCCCATACGATTAGAACCAGAAAGATAAACAGAAAAAAAAGGGAATGGGAATTGATACATCTGATGAATTGGCCGATCTATTTTACGCCAGCTCCCAGACTTGTACTAAGTCCGACTCCTGATCCCAATCAAAAGAGTTTAATTCAGGTAGATAAAAAATAAAAGTTATGCTTATAATTTACTAAACCCCGAAGGTAGCCTACCGGATTATGCGGGAAGACAAAGACGTATGATACAGTGACGATTCAGTGTAAGCAACTGGGAGTAACGATGAAATCAGTTAAACATTTACATTAAAATTTAATAAATACCAGTCTCAACATATATTTATATATTGGAATAATTTAATCACGGAAGAGTGTTAAAAAAAAAAACAACCGAATAAGGAACAGAAGATAATTTTTAATAATTTTTTTTCGAAATGGTGTAGCTTGGTTTTAAATGTGTAGAATTTAAAATGGAACTACTTTCAGACTTACTATTAATACGCAAGATAATTAAACAACATTGGTTTACATTGTTTGTTTATAGATGAAAATGTTGGAGATGAAAAATTCCCCAGAATGGAGGTACGACGACAACTTGGGTTGGTTGAAAATAGAATCTTCACAATCAAAAACTAACGGTAAAAGGAACCGACGACAATCAGAGGTGAGATTTGAGAAATTAAATGTTCATACCAATAATTCTACTACAATTCAAGTAAAAGAAAGAAAATGAACATCAAAAATTCAAAACTCGTCCGTATAAATGCTCCCCATAGACATAAAAGTCATTACATGGATAAAGTTATATTGGGCCTGTTTCCAATCCCATTACATAGGATTCAATGCCATGTCTATTCTGACACATACAACTTGAGTGGCTGCACTATATGAGTCGATTAACTGATTTTTGTATTAAAAAAAAAAAAAAAAAAGCTGTCCTAGTATAATGAGAACGGGTGCAGCCACTGTTTAGGTAATTTAATGTATATATGTAAGCAACGATCATCGTTGCTAACGAAAAAACGATTTTGTGTGGAACTCATTTTATGGTATGATAATTAAATATGTATAATTTTTTTTTTTTTAAATAATTTTTGAACCGATTTTCCCATTTTTACTACTTTTTCCCGGTATTCCCTTTTTACTTCCCGGTTTTTCACATTTGTTGAGAAAACTGAGAAAATCAAAAAAAGGCCTCCATATAGTACCACCTTATTATATTGATACATCATACTGACTAAAGAAATACAATCACGTTATAATAATTTGACTACAATAAAAGTACAAAATATTTTTTTAGTTGGATAATTACAAATATTAAATATCAAATTTGTCCGATGACTGGTAAGCCAATACACTATAACACATAATAAAACATAATAATGTGTGTTTAGTTTCTTTTGACTTGTCGGAGCTAATCTTATTGGAATGGATCGGAAACGGGTTAAATGTATAGTCTTAATCCAAGAGAAAAATACCATTAAAAATAATAACTGCGTATCTTGTTAAAGAGTTAAAGTCCTCTAAATGCCTAACCAACTAAAACTTAATTGAAAATGTGCATTAAAATGTAACATTATAAAATTAAATGTGCAGCTTTTATGATTCATAAGACACAAGCGTGTGACTATTGCAAAATGATGGCCAACCAATACTTAAATACTTTAATATAACTTAAAAATCATTAAATTTAAGTAATGAATTTAGTACTTTATCCCGGTATTTTTTTCGGTTTTTCAAATTTGTTAAAAAAACTTCTAAGAAAATCAAAAAACTACCTTGCTAAAGTACCTCCCTTGTGAAATTTCCTTTCAGAAATATTGTTATTATTAAAAGTTGGAACAAACTTGCTGGTTAAAAATGTGTGCACAGGAAACAAATCGTAATATTTTAGTAATATATTTAAATTTTAGTAAATTTTAACGGTTTTTTTTCGGTTTTTAAATTTTATAAGAAAATCGAAAAATAACCTTCTTAAAGTACCTCTCCACACCGATGTCCTTTTGGAAATGCTGTTACTCTTATAAATCTAAACACGTATTCTGGTAGAAAAGTTACGTAAAGATAAAAAAATTTATAAAAATAAAAATAAAAACTAAAATAATATCAACATCTTTGTAAAACCATAAGCTTCATTTCTCCACTCAGAATTTAAAAAAGTACGTAATTAATTATTTGCAGGGATATCAAGGAGATCAGGATGACTCGAATGATCTTAATGACTTGGATCTACGTTTAAATCAAAACAAGAAAATTGCCACAGACAAAGTTGCAAAGGATGTAAATATTGCTGATGATTCCATTAAAAACATTAGAACTCGACGTGGTTTACCACCGCCGAATTGTCAATGTGCGTTACACCAGAAGTTAATAATTCCGGAATCAACTAGAAAGATCGAAATAATAACAAGCACTACCGAAAAACCATATAAATATATCTTCCCAAAAATGGTTCCTCGTGGTCGCCGTTCTATATATTCATATCCACGTCCCGATAATAGAACAATATTAAATTATAACGATAAAGAACCAAAGACCGAAAAAACATTCTCTAAAACTGTTTTTCGTGAACGGCGTCAAGTACGGGGTGGATTATGGCGTGCCTTAGCTCCAGAAATTATTAAAACCTTCAACTCAATGTTTGAATCATCAAGCACAAGAATACCAATACAGATTATACAGAACGATAATGATCATAATATATTTCCAATTACAACCGAAACAACTCATAAATATGTATTTCCAAAAATGGTTCCCCGCGGAAAGCGTTCCGTATCTGAAGCTAAAGTTATTCCTGTTACTGAGTTTGTCACGGATTTCGATTATGAGGTAACATAAACAAAAAACAAATTAAGTGGATATCATACCACCCGTAATTTAACTGGATTTTGTTTCTCTGCTAAACCTAATTGAAGATATTTGTTTTAAACTTTCGTTTTTTGCCCCGTCCTTTCATTAACGTATTCAAAATATTAGTGCTATTGAAAAAAGAAGAACACTACGAAACACATAGAGTTCTTGTACATATTTTTAAATTTTGAAAGCATTTAACTGCATTAAACTCAATTTTGTTTTTTTAAATGACTAAGTATAACTTATAATGTATCTTGTGTTAAATTTTCAAGTAGTTATCCAAGTCTGACAAATTTTCATTACAGATAACTACCAAATAAAAATATATGCAAAAACACGAAAATATTAAATAATTATATAGTTTTTCAAAAATTAAAAACACTTAAATAGAGTAATATCATGGTATGACGTAATTGTTTGCCTTTTAAGTTATAATTCTCTTTCTAGATTTTTCTAATTATTTTGGAAACCCCTTGGAAAATCTAAATAAAATTTCTATAATGCACAACAAGAAAAAATTACAAAATCGTTGTGGATAACAGTGGGTACTGTAAGACGCAACTAATACGACTTTTATCAAAAACCANAATGCACTCCCCATCGTCCAAGTTATTTCACATATTATGCATAATATGAACTAATTAAAATATTACCGTTTATTTTTGATATCGTTGTTTTAATCGTCATTGGCGTTTATATTTGTCTTATTAAGTATTATTTAAATTGTGTTTTAATCATAATATAATAATTTAATATTAATTATATAAGAATAAAAATTAAGTTATACTAATAAATTTAATTTATAGATATTTATTTATAGGTACACAATTGCGAACACGATATGTTGGTCTTAATGAAATAAATGATTTATTCAGCTGTATTTTACGACGTGGAGTAATATCTGATGATGACATTATTATTGGTGCAAAAAAGTTGGCGGATGAATTTGAAGATTTTAATCCAGCTGAGCTAGCAAGGCAAATTGAATCATTTAATATTCTGTTTTCTTCTGAGCTTGAATCCTGTAATAGTGTTTTTGATATGACTAAATTATTGGTTATTGAGAATTATAATCTAATTACTAGTTTTCCAGACCTATTAACAACATTTTATTTATTTCTTACATTACCAGTAACAGTAGCCAGTGCAGAAAGGTCATTTTCAAAGCTCAAATTAATTAAAAGCTACCTTAGAAATACTCTGTCTCAAACACGTTTGAGTGGTCTCGCAATGATATCAATTGAAAATGAACGCGCCAAAAAGTCGAACATGTCAGCATTGATAAAGTCATTTGCACAAGATCGTAGCAGAAAAAAATTTGTTTTTATTTTAATTTGTAAATTATATTATATTTATTGACTTATCGTTTACTTAATAAATTAATATCCTTTTTTCGCATATTACAAGTTAACAATTTATTATGTAAAAAATAATTTCCAATATAAGTACTATATACTATACAACTATTCATTAAGGCCAATAAAAATTTTACCCACGGGCCTCAAAGATTGTAGTTCCGCCACTGGGTCGATATCTTATCTTTACAATTTATTAATAATAAATATAGTACAGTGCGATACGTAATAGTATCAATGTTATTATTTCGACTACACGAACAGTTACCTATTGATATAATTAATTTTTTTATAATGTGTTTCACATTTTATTCTAAAAAAAATTTCATGAAATGGATAAAATATATATCCGTTTCATGAACTAAAATTTGACTTACACGTTATGATCGTAGTTCATGAAATGAACACCCATTTCATGAAAAATACGATTACACTAAGTGGATGCGACATATACATTATATATTTTATATTTTATATTATATATATGGGCGTCGTATTTTCAAACTGAACATTTTCCCGCCATACCGTAATGATATTACCCAACACGAGTGCAATCTCATATCACAGTATTTTGATTTATATTAAAAATTTAAATTTTTTCTTTCTAATCATATGTAACTCAACGGGTAAAGAACAATGAAGTAAAAAAAAAAATTGCGAAAACTATTAGTTATTAATTTATAGCCTTTTGGACCCCGCGATATACTGATTTAGGTGTACCAGGTGATTCATTTAAGTGAGTGCACTCATTATCTCAGAAAGTATTAACTTTTTCCATAATTTGTTTTCTAGAATATATAAGAAACAAACTGCACTAAAATATTGTATTTTTATGTTATTTGTTGTCACCTTTATTTTCGGGGGTAAAATCATTAACTACTTTTGATTTTCAAAATGCTACCTGTATTAAAAATTCCATAAATAGACGGAGTGTTAGTTAATATATATTTGAGTTATGAAATTTTCATTATTTTTGATTTTGATATTCCATTTTTAAGTTTAGGTTGGAAGAGAGTAGTGGAATGTCATTCGCGTGGCGGCAGACGCGCGGCGTGTTAATAATACACCATTACTCTCCTCTTACGTTATGAAAAATATTATTCGGAAAAATAATAACTCATTAAAATGTATACACTATGCGCATGCATATTATATTTTATAATATAAATAATAACGGTTAGCGATAGACAAAGAATTATAATGGACAACGGACCTGCACAGGCCTGTATAGCGAGGGTGTGTAACATTCTCCCCTCCACGGCACGTCATCACACCGTCGAATATCTATATAATATTATTTCGGGGCCTCGCGCTCACTTCCTCCACCCCGCCCATCTACCCTCCGTTACAACCAATATTCATCTGTTAGTTAATAATTTGAAAGAAAATCATTTAAATAACTAAACAATTTATTTTTTTTTGATAACCTATAATACCTGCAATACTGCAATTTTCGTTCAATACATTGGTATATTTACATTAAATCGTTATGTTACAGCAAAAAGTCAATTTGCTAATGATGTTAGGATACTGACCGTTAAAATTTTGTCTTGGTTTAATTTTTTCTAAAGGTTTAGCCTCTTAATAAATTTGGTTCTAGATACGCCTATATATTTAAGATATTCGCGTCATCCGTTTGATGACACCGCCGCACCGCCGCAGCACCGCTCCGCCATTATAATCGTATTCTTTAGAATATCCATTCAACATATCAATAAATATAATTCCATTATAAATTATATTCAATCAATACTGACACGAAGGTCAACGGGCCCTTTTAATCTCACAAACAATAACGCTTTATTTCGTTGTTTCGGAGGGATTTTTTAATAGAAACGTAATATACACAATTTCTATACAAATCAAAAAAAATAGACGATATCTTCAGTCAGTTCATGATACCGCTATCATCAAACACCCGCACTAGGTACCTTTATATTTATTTCTATAAAAAATTCAAATCAATATAATACAATTTTTTTCGGAAGACTTTTAGCCTCACAAAACGAATAAAACACCAGTTTTCTATTATTTTTTGTATAAAATCTGTACAATAATGCAACATAATAAACATAAGAAATAGTTCGACACTCCGACTGAATAAAATGTAAAGGCTTTCTTTTTCAAAAAATCTCGAGCGTCTTCACAATTAAATATTCCAAATACGATTATTCTGTCAAAGACCTTTTATTTTGTCATCAGATTTTAATAATAATTTCTTTTGAACGTTCAAATATAAAAGTTAGTAAACAATTTTGTCCAAAATAGTAAATTTTGTAATCTTTCAAAACATGTATAACTGAACTTCGCTCCGAATCGTTATTCACTATCAATGGTTTATCGTTGCTTACATTAAATAAATAACCCAATTATTGAAACCTTTATTACCGTAAATTGTTCTATTCTATCTCAATTTATTATAAAAATAAAAATATCTACCATTTGTGCTTAGATTTTATTAAAAATTATAAAAAATATATCTAAATTAGTATCTTTTTTTAAATCAGGTTTCTAATTAAAAATTGTTTTCTTAAGTTAAGACAATTTCTAGATGTAGTTTAGAAGAATCAACAGACTATTATTTACAGATTTCATCAATTNTAGTCAAAAACCGACGATGGAAGAAATGACAATCGGCTGCCTTCGTTGAAATCAAGTTATGTGGAGGGGGAAAACATGCGCAGAAGCGGACCGTTCTCTCCTGGGACAGGCTATAAGTACCTACTTAATTATAGATTAATTAGAATAGATATGTATGTATATTTTATTATATTCAAATTGAAATATATTAAACCCATAAATGTCAAACATTGGTAAGATATTATGTTTGAGAGGGGTCAGTATATGAAAAATTCCATAAATAGATGGGATATTAGTTAAAATAAATTTTAGTTTTGACATTGTTGATCTCTGTCAAGCCGTTGACTATGTATACCACTAGGAATTTTAGGTAAGAGGAGAAGAATGGTGTAATAATAACACACTGCGCCAATCCCAATTACCCAATCCCAAAGATGGGGTAATACAAATCAATCAAGAATGCAATTCTATTATTGGTCAAAATGGAAATATAACACCATATAAGTTACATCTTGGATTTTACTCATTGAAATAACATGAAATAATGTTTAATATTTATCTCGAACATAATTTATATAATACATTTACAACGGTAATACTTGAAAAATCATTATTAAAAATATCATCCCCCTTTCATATAAGTTAAGTATTGATTCGTATTTATCTGATGTTAAATCTTAACAATGTTTAATCACTTAATGGAAAAAATTAATTGGTTATAAATGGTCTTCGCAAAAAGATGTTTAGAAAGGAGAAAGATTTTTACTTCAACTGCTGTAAAAACTCCAAATTTATATGGCAATAAATATATCATACATGTCTATAAGTGTGAAAGTAATTCAAAATATTAAAATAGATATTTTTGATAAATTTACATAATTTATTGATTATTTTAGTTTAAAAAACAGACAATAAATTAATTTTTAGAAAACAGAATGTTTGTATATCTCCAAAAGTTATAATTTCTATAATAACCTTAGTTTATAAATCCTTATTCCTTATTTTAAAATTATTTTCAACTTCAGTTGGATCATTAGAATTTATTTAATACCCAATATTAGCATCACTATCTTTTGTTAATGGAATTTTTATTCTCTTTGAGAAAAATACTAATCAAAAGGAAAACATATCAGAATTTTATAAGTTTATTAATTTTACATTCAAATGTTGATGTTGTTTAAAGCTAGAAGAATCACTAATGAAGAATATAAAAACTGGTGAAAAAATTAAAAATGTTCATGGATGTTTTATTTTGGATGAATTACCTAAAAAACAAATGAGAAATAAAAGTGGAATATTTAATTTTAATAAATTGTATCAAGATTGATCTCACTGGGTTGCTTGGATTAAACAAGAATATTTAAAAATTTATTTTAATTATTACGGTAATGCTAATCCTCCAAAAGAATTAGTAAAATATTTAGAAGAAAATAATCTTAAATTAACAACTCAAAGATTTAAAAACTACAATGACCAACCTATTCGGGGACATTTGTGCTTAGATTTTATTAAAAATTATAAAAAATATATCTATGTTTTCTTAAGTTAAGACAATTTCTAGATGTAGTTTAGAAGAATCAACAGACTATTATTTACAGATTTCATCAATTTGATTATCTAGAACAGTTAAATGTGCATTAATATTTGCTATTTTTAATAAATAAAACGTTTGATATTATTCTAGTTAATACAATATCTTTTCTTAAATATAAACACCTAAAACTTCAAAAGTAGAATTAAAAAAATGCATCGGTTCCTTAAAATAATATAATTGTTTTGTAAAATCAAGAGGCAAGTACCAATATCATTTATGAAAGTCTAGATATTTTTCGTTATTAGTAAAAAAACTCTTCATATTTCATTATTATAAAAAAAAATTTCTGAAAAAAGGTCCTGATAGCTTTCTCAAAATAAAACTTGCAAAATATACTTTTTGTGGTAAATACCTAAAACAAGATAATACTGAATATAGGCTACTAGTAATGTGCAATTAGATCAGTATTTTGTTCAATTTTTATTTTTTCAAATTAATGTTACCAAAAATAGAACATTTATAGATCGAATTTATAATGTTGGTAGAGCATGTATAATCAAAGGATGTGTTAGTTTTTCTTTAGATCAGAATAGTCCAACAATTAATTCAGGATTACAATCAAGATATAATTGAGGCGGTGCTATATTTGAAGCTAATAGGAATTTATTTAATCTATGTTTAGGTTCTTTAAAGATATTCAACATCCAGTTTTCAAGTAGGAATTAAGATAAATTTTAATAGAGTAAAATATGATGGTGTATTGTGAAGATTTCTACAACCCCTAGCAATATGAGCTGTTGGAAAAGTCATTATTGAGGATTTTAAGATTACGATGCTACCTGTGGAATATCAAGAAATGTATGATTTAAAATTAATAAATTAATTAACAAAATTATCTTATAGATATAATGGTAGGGTAAATTTTAAATCTTTGCAATGTACGAATATATTCAATTTAAGTGGTAAAACATTCATGAGAAATATTGCAAGTACATATAGACACATTCATAATCTATTATTTCCAAATATTAGCTTTCCAATCAAATGGACTAGATACACAATGAAAAAAATGTTCTACTTTCGTTCACTAAATTTGCAAAGAATATTTGGCTAGAAATTGATGAACCGAGATATCCACAAGAATCATTAAATTTAGAGTGGATAATGATCATTAATAATCAAGACCAATGAATGTTTTAAATCTTACTAGACAACCTGATAATGTTATTGGAAATAGAAATAATATTTTTTTTTTAACGTAGAATTTAATGAGGATGTACCAAGTTGTACAATTTGCCATATATGTATAGTTTCAAGTTCTAAATATATAAATAATATTGTTCAAATACAATTAGAAAAAAAAATCTAAAATTAAAAAAAATATTCTACTAAGATAGAAAAATGAATTTATTAAATTAATAAATATGGACAAGGAATTTTTAGAACCAACACACTGTTATAAATATAAAAAGAAAAAAAAATTTTTACCAATCAAGGTTCAAACAACAAATGGGATTTCGAGAATTTCAAATTAATGTTTAAAATATAAAGCAAACAAAAGTAAATTTATTAAAACTCCCGCACAGAAAAAATAGAAAATAAAATATTATTAGAAAACATAGGAGAACAAGATAAACTATATATTGCAAAAGAGCTTCATAAACCTTTAAAATTTCGACTTTCAAAAAAAAAAATAAAAACACATGTTATTAGTGGGCTGCAGATTTAGTTATAATGAGAAATTATGGTGATGAAAATTCAGCTTATTTGTATATGTTGAATGTTATAGATACTTTTTCAAAATTTGATTTGGCTTAATCTCTTAAAAAACAAGATGGAAAATATGTTACTAAAGGTTTTGAAGAAATAATAAAAAGAGCTAAACTACAGAAATACAATTCACCTCATACTGATTAAGGAATAGAATTTGTAAATTAACAGTTTAAGGAAATGTTAGCAAAATACAATATTAAATTATATCATACACAAAATGATGAGAAATCTGTAATTGTTGAACGTTTCAATAGAACTTTAAACAATAAAATGAGAATACCGTTTGAAGTTCAATAAAATAAACGATGGGTTGATATTTTACAAGGTTTATTGAATGAATATAGTTTCAAGGATATTCATCGAACAATTGGAATGATACCGTTTGAAGTAAACAAATCAAACGAAGAAAAATATTTAATTAAATTTAAGATTAATGATAGGGTTGGAATAAAGAATTTGATAAAAACGTTTGATAACAAATATAAAAATAATCTCTCTACAGTACTTTCTCACACCTATTTTCTTTATCAAAAATTGCCATTGTTATACATTGGAGCAAAATTTTTATTAAAAAAGGTGTTCACAGGAAAAAAAAGGCCGTTATATATTTTAACTAATACCTAAATTTTTTATATTTTCCCGTTTTTCCTTCGTTTTTTTCGGTTTTTCAAATTTGATGAGAAAACTCTTGAGAATATCAAAAACTGATCTCTTTAAAGTACCTCCTCACACTGATTTTCTTTCCGAAAAGTGTTACACTTAAAATTCGGAGCAAGATTTCTGGTAGAAAAGTTGCGTATAGTCGCACATATAATGTAAAATAAAATGTAAATGTAACTGTCTTTATATAATTATTTAATATTATTTTATTAATTTTGAAACAAATAATATATAATAAATAATTCTAATGCTGTTACTCGCACGTAGAGGGATTCACCACAGCTAGTAACACCGGTAAAAAAACCGGTAAAAACTAATGGTAAGGTAAGAAATGTAAAAAAAAAAAAAAAAATTAAGTGGCACCCTAATATATATGTATACTTTGTATAACATCTATACCGGATATCTACCATTAAAAATAATAACTGCGTACCTTGTTAAAGAGTTCAAGTCCTCTGAATGCCTAACCAACCAAAACTGAATTGAAATTGTGTATTAAAATGTAATATTATACAAAATTAAATGTGTAGCTTTAACGATTCATAAGACACAAGCGTATGACTGTATTGCAAAATGATGGCCAACCAATACTTAAATACTTAAAAATCGTTATATTTAAGTAATGTATTTAGTACTTTTTCCCGGTATTTTTTTCGGTTTTTTAAATTTGACAAGAAAATTTCTTAGAAAATGAAAAAAAAACCTTCTTAAAGTTACTCTTATAAATCTAAGCATGTATTCTGGTAGAAAAGTTGTGTAAAGATAAAACAAAAATTTAAAAATAAAAATAAAAACTATATATATTCTATATATTCATATCCACGTCCCGATAATAGAACAATATTAAATTATAACGATAAAGAACCAAAGACCGAAAAAACATTCTCTAAAACTGTTTCTCGTGAACGGCGTCAAGTACGGGGTGGCTTATGGCATGCCTCAGCACCAGAAATTGTGAAAACAATCGATTCAATGTTTGCATCTTCAACCACTAAAATACCAATACAGATTATACAGAACAATAATGATCACAATATATTTTCAACTACAACCGAAACGACTCATAAATATATATTTCCAAAAATGGTTCCCCGTGGAAAGCGTTCCGTATCTGCAAATAAAGTTATACTTGTCACTGAGTTTTTCACGGATTTCGATTATGAGGTAACATAAACAAATAACAAATTAAGTTGATATCATATCACTCGTAATTTAACTGAATTATTTTCTCCCCTGAACCTAATTGATGTTATTTGTTTGAAACTTTCGTTTTTTGATCCCGTCTTTTCATTAACGTATTCAAAGTATTAGTGCTATTGAAAAAAGAAGAACATTACGAAACATATAAAGTTCTTGTACATATCTTAAAATTTTGATAGCCATACTAAAAACATAGAAAGTGAGGTTCCCCTTAAAAAACAGTGCATTAAACTCAAATTTGTTTTTTTATACGACTCAGTATAATTTATAATATACCATACGATCGATTTTCAAGTAATTATCTAAGTCTGCAAAATTTTAATTTTAGGTAACTACCAAATAGAAACACTTGCGAAATAACTGAAATAGAGTAATGTCGTGGTATGACGTAATTCTTTGCCGTTTTAGTTATAATTTTCTTTCTAGATTTTTCTAATTATTTTGGAAACCACTTGGAAAATCTAAAAAACTTTCTATAATGCACAACAAGAAACAAATTACAAAATCGTTGTGGATAACAGTCGGTACTGTAAGGCGCAACTAATACGACTTTTATCAAACACGATTAACATACATGTTTTACTATAGTCTAAAATATTATATTTTGATCAATATGATTGTTGGTTTACAGAAATATGTTATCCAGCAGGACAATCCAAGATCTAAGCGTTCGTTATCCGATGTCATAGCATCGAGTCATCCAGAGTCTATTCCGTCGGGACCAACTCCATCACCGAGTCCACCATCTACACCTCCGCATACCCCGCCAAGAACCGACTCGAGAGTTCATTCTACTTACAATTCGATATTCGAGGCTAAAGACTTGATAAACTCACTTGACACGTTATTAGAAGAGTATGAACAATTAATTAACAACGATAAAGAATATAAGGAAACACGGAGAAAGCGCAGTTTCACACAGAAAAACAACCTAACTAAATATAGTTGGCGTTGTGTTAGAAGGATTAATAACGAGGATTCATTGTTTAATCAACGGAGGGGCGCTAAGTTCTTGACATGGGGTGGAAAGGTCGAGGAACAAGTCGACCAATCCGAAAACCAACAACTGTGAGTTTATAATAACGTGTATAATTGTTTTTATAGACATAATGGATATAAAGATCCACGTTTTGATGATTTATTAATTTGTTATATTTAATGTTAATATCATTTATTCTAGTGACAACGAAAATAGTTCTACACCGGTCAACATAGTAAACGATTATTACATGACTTACAGTTGTCTGTGGTTTGTTCCTAGAGGCCCAAATATATTGGAATATTCTGTTGTTTGTTAGTATATGATGTATGCTAAATATCGATAAGTAGTAACCTGGAATTTGAAATCCAAAAATACATGATAGAATTAATGTCAAAACGACAATATTTCATTAAATATTGTCTGCTCGTAAATATAATTTATATTTATAATTTTTATTAAACGTTCAGAAACTTAACCAATAACTCGTCGATGAATTTTATTATAAATAAATAAAATATAAAAAAAAACTTTAAAATAACGCTCAGCATTTTGTTTTATCAGTAAGTATAACTTATGATGAACCCATTTTCAATTTTTGTAGTATTTATATGAGCCTATAAAATGTTATCCACATCAAATAAGTTTTAGAAAATTTTACTACAAATAACTACATGTAACACAAAAATGTGCAGATTATATCAAAAATTTTAGTTTAGAAAATGCTAATGCTAGAATAGGTATTTAATAACCATTTTAGATCTCTATGGTTATTTTTCACTCAATTAGAATGAAAAATACAAAATAAAAGCCACAATCTTCCCGATTATCCTATATTTCCTTTGGTTTTTCCCAATATTAAGAAAAGTAGAAGAACACAAATTAACCTACTCATAGCATCAGCTTAACAAATTGTGTTATTATTATTTATTATTATTATTTTTATTCTTTATTTAATTACGGCGTTCCATGATCTTTATTATATCAGAAGTTATTTCAATAGTATCTCTGTGTGGGACACCTGTATTATGCCCAATAAAAAAATTTAAACGATTTGAACGTATAAAATAATTTCGAATTTATTAAGTTTTAGGCATTACTGATAACTGTGTTTTACAATTTTTAGGCACTGGCCTGCCAAAACCTGACCAGGATTTGAAGAGCTTTGCACGGGAACTCGTAAGGAAAACAAGTCGGGCAATCGTGNTTTAGGCACTGGCCTGCCAAAACCTGACCAGGATTTGAAGAGCTTGGCACGGGAACTCGTAAGGAAAACAAGTCGGGCAATCGTGGCTTTGATGTTAACAAGCGGAAAAACCTTAATCCTCGCCGTGAGTGGTGGGCCACGGAACCCAGTGAGTATAAACCTCTATACTAAATCTAATCAAACGATGTGCTCACAACGGATGATTACTTACCCAAACGACCAATTACTACAACCATGGTAATAAATGGTAATAAATTAAGTAGCAATACCATTATGTTGTTTTCAAACCTTTATTTATTTGTGTTGAAAACTATATGTAAATGATTAAAGGACCAAAAATTTGACATTTTTCTCGCCACCGTCAAAAACCGTTATGTCATAATTGCTATGGTAAAATATTTTTTCGATCCGGTACCTAATGGTTTTATTTTTTTTTTTTAGGTAACGCAGGTAACGTGGCTGAAAAACCAAGCCAACCTCCACCCTTCATGGTGTTTTTCATATCCTTTGCCGTCTTGGTTGCCGTACCGGCGTTCATACACATGAAATCTTAAACTATAACCATTTAATTTATTATTCAAAAAAAAAAACATTTTTAATTTTAACAATTTTAAAAAAAGATGTTACGGCATATAATAAGTATACCGTTTTGCACCTAATGCTTCCTTAAAAATTATTATAAACTAGATTGAGTGTTAAAACATCTATTATAAGAAACGATAAACCATTGTTAACAAAAATATGATTTTCATATGACAATAATAGTATTCCATTGTTTTATATTTTTTTTTTAAATTTGTGTTCAGTTATATTGTGGGTATGTGTTTTGTAATATGTTATGTATACTGAAATCAGTGAAATCCTTATCGAAAGTCAGCAATTGAACAAAATAATGGACAATAAAATGTTAAAAATAACAGAAATTACTAATTCACATTTCAAGAACCAACCTGAATACAGTTGGAATCATAGCTATAAAAGTATAAACTAAGCTAAGATTATGAGTAAAATACCCCATGGCCCATACTATTCAGAACATTATCATTATATATTTATATCTATTATCTACAATATACATCAGGGGTCACCAATTAATATGTTTGAAGGGCCACATTAAGGATCTGATAATTTTCGCGGCCCATCAAGATTCTAAGTACATATTTTTAACATATAATAGAACTGATAGAGCCAGAAATGATTTACAATCGAAGGACCAGACCGGTTCGAAAGAACCGATCACCTTCACCTTTTCGCTTGGTGGGAAGGCAACTTATCAATCATGCGCCGTACTGTCAAGGAGTAGGCATCCCAATACAGTCAGCTACTTCTCGTACCCACTGGGCGGCCAAGGCATAAGAGTTTGATACTGGCAGCAACCAATAATATTTAAGAAAAATAATTTACATTTTACAACAATAACACTATGTTGCCGTAAAATGGTTTATTTNGTTCGTGGGCCGTGCACAGCCCGTGGCCCGTGGCCCACAGCCCGTGGTATTTGGTGACCCATGATATACATTGATTCTGACGGTATGCCGTGTGCGTAATTTTAAAGTTTAAAATTACTTCATAATAGTTTATATTCGTCTGTTGTCACGAGCGTTAGACATTAGTTTGAGTGTTTTGAGTTTTATACGTGGGTAATTAATTTAGCAATGGCAAGAACAAAATCAAACCCAGTTTGTAGTATGTTTTTTAAATATAAAAGATGTTTTAATAAAAGATGTATTAGTTTTTTATATAGAGATAC